GACGCCTCTCAGACGTGGAGAGTCTTCTGGCGCCACCCACGGGCACCGTCGGAGGCCGTGTCGCGCGCAACGTCACTGTCAATGTCAATGGGCGTGATCCGGTTCGAAGCGACGTATGTTTCGGCCGCGACATGCGTTTTTGCTTCGAGTAGGAGGGCACACCGCTGTTGCATCTGGCTGTTGCGTCGCGCGACTTGCTTATTCTACAACACCTTCTCACCCGACCAGACCTTGTGGTCGACGCCACCGACCAGCTACACGCCAAGTCTCTATGCTCGTGTTGCCACCGCTGACTGCAGAAGGGTCGAACTGCGTTGGTGTGCGCCATGGCGTCCAACGACATTGGGGCTTTCTTGCTACCCGTCCGCGCGAACGCGCGTGTGGACCGGCTCAGCGACGTCTCTTAGCCATGCCATTTTACGATTTTGTGCCAACGACATATGGGGGTAGGGTCAACGGCGCGCGTTGCTTCAAAATCGCGTCCAGGGGCTCGCACTGCTTCACGCCGCATGGACCAAGCACGCGCGCAACGTTGACGCCCTCCTGCGCGCTGGCATCAGCCCGGCTGCCACCAGTCACGTACGATGATATGAGCATATATTACGCTCTAAGTTCTTATTGTTGGCTATGGGCGTAGGATGGTGTGACGGCGCTGCATGTGGCGGCCACCAACGGGTTCGAAACGATCGCTCAACGCCTGCTCGGAGCCGATGCGTCACTCGCGCGTCGGAGCGACCAAGTACACAACCATGCTACGGTGAAGCGTCTGGAGACGATGTAGAGAGGCTGTTTGCCACTGCACCTTGCGGCGGCCAACGGACACACCGACATCGTCGATCGACTGCTGAGAAATGAAGGCGACAGCGGGCTCAATTGCACCAACCATGTACTCCATCCCCCTCTGCCATTCGGCCAACCTATTTATGTATCAACTTGATACATAGGGTGGTGAAGTGCCCCTTTTCGTCGCGGCCAGAGCGGGTCACGACACAGTCGTTGCGCGCTTGCTCCAAGCCAACGCCAAGACCAAAACCATCACCACCGTTCGCGTCACTACTCGTCACTACTGAGGTACCAATGAGCTCTCACTTTAGGACGGGTCCACGCTCCTGCATGCTGCTGCGCTGGGTGGCAACACCATTGTCCTCTCTCAGCTCTCTCAGTTCTTTACATCTGTCGACGTTTGTGATGAGGTGGAGACAGCATCGCCCTGACGACTTTGACGCTAGTGCGTTGTGTAGCTCGGTCAAACGCCGTTGCATGTAGCTGCCAAGGGAGGTCAAGACGCGGCAGTCCAGTACCTCTTGGAGGTCCACGCAAATGTGTTTGCGAGAACCGAGGTATGATGAGTAGGGATTGTTGATCACATTGGCGACGCTGCAGAGTGCCATATAATATTTGTGTGCTGTAGGACGGTGCGACGTCGTTGATGCTAGCGGCGTCGGCGACGATCGCTGCAGCTCTACGCGGTGCCGAAGCCAACGCCCGGGCTTGGACCGTTGTGTGATACCTTTTTCTTTCATCTTTAAAATGTCGCTGCGGTGAGAATACAATGGTAGGTTGAGGAGGGTTAACGATCAGATGATACTGGCCTTTGCAGCGCTCTACTGGCAAAGCGTCAATGTTGACGTGGGCTAGAAGTGGACCATGTCCCAGAGTTGTTGAAATGAGGTATTCCATGCAATAACAAAGATATGGTGAA